TAAAATATGATAAAATAAAGGCACAAATACTGTATTTCGCAGAACGAAATACAGTACCCCATTGAAATATATTCTCCATGAAACCACTTAGGAGAGAGTTTATGATTTTATATGATCTGGAGTGCCCCTAAAAATCTCATATATGTTGTACATGGATACGAGATCTATATGAATTCGGGATTTGCCGAAATTAGAACTAGTGCTGGGATAAGGGAGATAAGATTAGTGTTGGCCTAAGGATTATATGAACGGATTTGATTCCATTGATTTAGCTCCAGCATATGTCCCTTATCCTAGCACTAGTTTTAATTTGGGCCAATTCCGAGTCCATAGATCTTGTATCCATATGCAACATATATACTCAGGCCGGATATAATATAAAATTTTATCAAATTTGTTATAGGCTAAACATATTATCGCAAAACTACCAAATCTTCTTAGAGAAAAAAGCTATTCTAAATGACTGAATATATTAATTTCAACTATTAATAAAATTTGGAACCTCTTTTAAACTATAATAAAAAAATCACCTATATTATCCATTTTCTTTTTTTAGTGATTTAAATTTTTATTGTATACTATCTTACAAAAATTAGTTATTACTATTATTACTATTACTACTACTACTACTACTACTACTACTATTATTATCTAATAAAGATAAAGATAATATATACAAGATATGTAAAAATTTATTATAAAATACTCGAGATCCTCTTGTAAATACTTGCCATACAATATATCCTCCTTACATGAGATCCACTTATGGTATACAGCGTACCTTCGAGGTATTAATCAAATAGAATCCAAGAGACCCGTGTATTTTGCCCTGCAATTGTATCACAGCATCAAGAGCTAATCATCATATCAATAAACATTAACACTATCCAAAAAATAATTGAATATACACTTACATAAATTTCAGAACATCACCAGTTTCATCTTTCTTCTTGAACAAAATTCGTTTGGATGATGTCGTAAAAGTAAGTTTTGGGTATAATCGTTGCCGCGATTAATTTTATAATATATTTTAAGTGTACAATATTTCTGATTCTTAGTTCTATAGACTGCATTTTGACAATTTGGTAAAAGTTTAAAAGATAAGAATATTGCAAAGCCAAATGTCAATATCCCTGTAATGTAATGGGGACCGTCAGTAAAAACCAAGCAAATTATATATATAAGTTGCTTGGTTTTTACTGACGGTCCCCATTTAATCTGAAAATCAACACGTACCACTTCCGATACCGTGTCTTATTTTATAAACTCTATATTTCGCCCTAGATCATTATGCGAGGAAAACAGGATTTTCTCATCAAATGTTATGGACAAATACTAAAAATAATCTTTGCCTGAACTCGAGATTCAAGCTATTAACCGTCTCATTCAAGCAATACGTTCGACTTCTCGTCATTACCAATAATCTGGTTCATAAAGTTTCAAAATCAAGCCCGCATTTGGACTTGTTTATTCTTTTTGGCGATAATGTATGATTTTACTTTATTTACTGTAAATATCATGAAATTAGAATCAATTCTAAAAACAAACCCTCGCTTTTCTCTTAATTAATTTCTCGTGTAAACAAATCACACAGTAATCTAAAGCATACGAACTTGTTGGGCGATGAATCCAAGGTATTCGAAAAAGAATTATTGCGAATGGTTGAAGTTTTTACCTATATATTCAGACTGAAATAATCCTTTGAATAATACCACCAAAAATAGTAGTAACATCATTTACGAAATCTCTGTTTCTTTTTTAAGAAGAAATCATCGTACGGAACAGCAATATCGTAATTATTCGCCAATTTTTACTATTATCATTACGTTTATAATTTACAGGCTCTTGAAATTGAGCACAAAAGAATCAACTTGAAGAAGAATATTACACAAATTTAAGCTTTCTGTGTTTGCTATATTCTTTTCTAATAAACTAATAAATACTCGAAAAGTATGATTATTACTAACGTGGTCATACACCTTCTGAAAAGATTAGTTGTGTGTCAAAAACAACTACGCATGATGCAGGAACTCTTAAATCGACAATATGTTTCATGTTATAATTCTATCAAAGTAGTAAGCCGGTAATATTATCAAGAAAGTCCTTTCTACAACATTACCGGTTAAATTTTGTATTTACTTCTTAAGAAATTGAAAGAATTTTTAACACGAAACATATTGTCGATTAAGAGTGCCTGTACCATATGTACGTACAATGAAATGATAAATTTAGTAAAATATATCAGAATTAAATACATCATTAACATGAAAAAAGTCTTTGTCTCAAATTCTTTTTAAAGGTAGCACAAAAGAATATTAGAAACAAAAAATGTGGCGTAATGTTGTTAGTATCTTATACAATGCGCATGTCACCAAGCATTTTCTTGTTCTTGTAGTCTCTAATTACTTGATACGTATATCACACAAAAGTAATTTTGACTTAATTACGGGTTTTTAACTCAATTCTTTTCGTTGTCTACGTATTCATAGGTCTTTGATGAGATGGTTACGTATATGGCGTATACAATTTGTGTATGGCCTCTTAAAGTGAACCATTTCTTTTTGGCTAACAAACACTTTAATTAAGTTTAGTGTGATTCAAATTTTCACGTACAAGTCGCACATCGATTATTTCGTCAATAAACTATATACTTCTGTATTTTCAAAAAATATTTTGGGTAATAATACAATGTAATTGAACTGGAATATTAATAATGATATCATCGTATAATATTTTTTAAAGAGAAATAATGAACACACACACTACCTATTTAGGATATTTATATTCAAAACAAGGGATGTTTGGCTAGATTCATCTACGTAATTTCTATTAGCTTTCTCAAGAAAATTGGATTTGACCTTCAATTTCGCAGTTTTATCTTCATAAGTATCGGATTATAGAATCCGATTGGTCAATGTGTTTTGTTTATTTATCAATTCCCATAATTCTTTATTACAGATAGTGGTAGTGTTACACATGACGTATATCATTCTACATGTATTAACAAATTAAATAGATTTGAAATACATGTACATAAATTCTAACATTATCGAAAGCATTACTAGAAGCATATATTTTAACTAAACGTATATAAAATGTATAGAGCGAAAAAGTTATAAAATGAAGCAACTTATGTTGCATCATTTAAAATAATTTTCTAACGACTAACTATATGTATTTGTTTGATAATCCCTAACGTTAAAAAAAATAATGGTGAAGACAAGAAAATCAACACCTTCGATTGTCAAAGAAAAACGGAAACAACATGTCGCCTCTCGAGAGGAAGTGATCGAGTTTCGCAAAATTTACAAAATCACACCGCCTCCATATGCGATCAGTGAACTCATTAAAGACATGCAGAAAGAGTTTATTAGTAGTAACGGACACATAAAGCGTCCCCCAAATCCCTTTTTGGTTTTTCGTAAAACAGCAAATAAGAGAGCAAAAGAATTTGGCCTAAAATGTAAGGAGCAAAATAAATTCCAAACGAGATTTTCGGAACTGTTAGGTAGAGTATGGCAGGCATTACCAAGAGAAGAGAAGGATGGATATTATAAATTGGCAGAGGAAATTAAAATTGAACATAAGAAGGAATTTCCAAATTATGAATTTCATCCGAAGCGTGATAGATCGATCTTTAGAATCTATAATCATACACAAAAAGATGTCGCAGACATCGATGAATCTTCCTCCGACAGTTCAATTGATCAAGATCTCAATCCTCAAGATTTTGTAACATATTATATGATATTTGATAGTTAATTATATGCTCATATATTCAACTCTGTTTTATATCCTGACTTCGTTATAAACAGAGCTGACTGTATTCTTATTTATATGCTTAATGTTAAGAATTATGTTAAGTAAGCTCTCTTTTACATATCGATATGTGTTTTTAGTCTACTCATGTGTTTTTTTATGCGTGACCAAATGTTTACGTCATCTGAACAAATAAAAAAGCTTAGAAATACCAACGTCAATTTCGGTAATGTCTGCATTTAGCATTCGAATTCGAAGTTCCGACGTTGTGAGCTCTGAATCACTTTAGTAAACTAAATTCTGTTTTCTTTATGATTTAATGCTTATCAAAATATAATACATATAATATTCCATTTTTTTCTCATTATAAATTTATTAATTATTTACATTATTTTTCGAACTTCAAAATAAGATGTTACCAATTTACTTGGTTTTACTATGGCCCGCATGTTATATTCATATATTTATGTATTTTATTTATATATTCATATATTCTATTTATATGCTTAAATAAATTTTAAAAGATTCACAAGTATAAACACCAATTAATTAGGAAAATCTTATTATGTAAGTTGGGTTTAGTTGTTTGGTTTTTACTGACTCGCCCCATATATAGGCATAATATTCAAGTTTAAACAAGATTGCAAACGAATAATAATAATAATATATCGATATCGATATTAATAATTAGGATATTCTCAGAAAAAGAAGTTACTGATATCCAGCTATTATCAAAAGATAAAGTAGAATCGTGCATTTTAAATTATTAGTGAAAATCTTTATAAAAAGATTTTTCGAATTTAGATGAATTCAAAGTACTAGTAATCATGACGGCGACGACAATTGAGTGTATTCCGGAAGGTTCAATTTGTACGATGACAGGCGCAGGTACATTAACATTAAGTATACATGTAAAATATGCACAATACGTACATGTATCGGTACCGGTACGTGTACAGCGATTTTAATTTCTTTTGTGTGTAACGGTAACGGCAGCAATTGTTCGTTCTAAAAATAAACTTGAATGAAAGTCTTGAACAATTGTTTTAATAACGATAATAGATAAATGAAGTGCAGATATTTTGATGGCACTTTATACGTAAAGCTACCAAAGAATCCAATTTTAAGTGTGCATTTAGCACGAATTCAGTTGAATATAGAAAATTAATATTTGTGAGTCAGAACGAGAATAGTTATCGATATTTTATTCAAAATAAAAACTACATGCACAGCATTTTTTGTTTAACAGTGCTTTACAACTACTCATATCTTCTCTAGCTTTAAATTTCTCGCCACCTATCGCTATGAAGTATCATATTTATAGTCAAATCCATGTTTTGAATTTGAACACTATTCAATATCATAATGTGAAATTTTTGATTATAAGGTAGCCCTCCCTATTCCCGTGCACTTTTTATTGTTACATATAAAATATTTTATATAGTTAATATTTTTTTTATAAAATTTTGCACATAAAATCTATAAAAATTTTTATTAACTATTTATATAAAAAAAAGAAAAGAAATAAAATTAAAAATTCAAAATTTTAGAATATACTGTCCTATTTCCGTGCATCTATATGTTTTGTAATTATATACTTAGTCAAATTTAGATTTTTTTCATTTATATATTTTTTAGGTTTATTTCTCAGTTTTTATTTAATTTATTGCATAATTAATAATACCAATTTGTGTTAATCTTTTACAGTCTAAACTATATTTTTATAAAATCTTGAAATATTAAGTGCACGAAAATAGTAGACTCTCAATTTTATTTATATTATAAATTACTATCGAAAAAATACAAATATACCTAAAATTATATTCTGAACATA